GGCCCCCGGCCCGTACTTTGGACACCACTGGTCTACAAGCATTATGAAACCTTTTTTTTTTCATTGGGTGCAAATGAAGCTGTGCCCAGCAGTATTTTCAGTGTGTGTTTAAATGACACTGTTGGGCGAGGTTCCTGCCTACTCTCCTCGTCCTTTTCCCTGCTGAGTGGGACAGCAGAGCCCCCAGCCGAGGAAATACTGTAGCTTAGTTCCGTGCTGTGCACATCGAAACATAAATGACTGGGACTCACCAAATCTACCGAACAGCAAAAGCATGTATCAACCCTTGCATCATTGTGGCTGATGGCCAATCGCACTGAAACTCAAAACGAAATGACACCAGCATTGGAACTACAAACACAAGTTGACCGACCTCCAGGAGAGTAAATCTGTGAGGAAGAATGCATTTGTTCCTCTTTTGTGGGGTTTGTTCTACAGTTTGAGATGAAATGCTGTAAGGGAACATGGAGCTTCTGTTGGTTTGCTGTGAGAGGTTGAAGCAGGAGGACATGCTGATACGCACACGCAAAGCATCAAGCTGGCTCGACGTCGTATGCATGACTAACCAACAGGCCTGACTCCAGTCTCTCTGACTCTTTATTTGGACCACTGTTGTACCCAAAATATATCTTTACACTGTCACTGATTTTGTCAAAGCACAGCTAGCACAATAGGTGTCGCACAAGTCTATGTCGTGTGATGCAATATACATTGGGATAATGCCGCGCACACTCCGCTTCACTATGCATGACTAACCAACAGGCCTGACTCCAGTCTCTCTGACTCTTTATTTGGACCACTGTTCTACCCAAAATATATCTTTACACTGTCACTGATCTTTGTCAAAGCACAACTAGCACAATAGGTGTAGCACAAGTCTATGTCGTGTGATGCAGTACACATTGGGATAATGCCGCGTACACTCCGCTTCATAAAAGGTGCAAATTTGTAGCCGTCTTGAAATCCGGAAATAGTCACAGTGTCTCGCAGACCGACGATCAGCAAACATCAGCACAATGCTCATCCACCTCCTCCCCACCCTCGCCCCAATGCGAGAGACGTTCACTTTGAAATGCAACTCTGCTGACTGAGCACAGATGATCTATCTCAGCAGGCTGTGTAATGTTTATAGACTGTGAAAAGAATCCATGAAGTCCAAGACTGATAAATCACATCTCAAACACTTTTCTTTCTCCGCACACCCACCCTCACCCTTGTCTCTCTTCCAAATGGTTCTCTTGCCTGCTCAAGTAAAGATGAACACCCTTCATCTTGTGTTTTTTGTGGTTTGATTGGAGCGAGAACATTCCACCCGAGAGTGGAGGTTACGAGAGTAACAAAAAAAAAAAGAAAAAAAATCTTTATGTCCTAAAGATACTTGCTTTGAAATTGTTCAGCAATCTTCTTTGATATTCATTCAAAATTTCACTTTCAGTATCCCATTTTTCTGTCGATGTAGCGGTATTTTTACTGTCATTATTGCAGGTGGGTGTTTTACTGTGCAGATTAATGACCGAATTTACTGTGTTCCTATGAGAATTGCCTGAGAAATGAGGTGAAAAGTTACACACTCCTGTATGCTTTTTTTCCAAGCAGACAATTTCCAATGAGCTAGTGTTAAATGCACATTCATGTCACCACACCCTTTGCTGGCTCTGCATGTACACACAACCCATCTACTGTGATTCACTTCAGAAAATGGCACAGCTTGCAGCAACACACTCCACAACCTTGGCAACATTAAATTCAGATTTTTTTTTTAAATTTAGGGATGTTTTGGATCGTTTTAAACCATGGCTTCTTTGTACTGTATTTTATTAGCGAATTTTATTTTATAATATTGGACGAATTGTTTTCCAGTACTTTACTGCTTACAGTGTTTTAATTTATCCTTTTGCACTTGGCCTATAAAAGACTTTTTCACCATTGCGTGGGAAAGGTTATTTATCAATAGTTCTTCACTTCTCTTCTAGGCTAGTATTTCTGGGGGGTGGGGGGGGGCAAACAAATTATAATGTGTTTCGAACAAAATTCTGCGGACACTCACTCTTAGCACATGTCTGAGCTACTTCAATTTCCATCTCACTTCCTGAAGTTGTTAAAAATACTCAATTCAATTATTGATTTTGTGGAGGCCTGAAAACACACCAAGTAATTCTTCACTCATAGTCTATTACTGCACTTCAATTTTTATTGTGGGAGGAATTCCACTAGGAAGACCTCAAACAACCTCGTATCCTATACTTGACTCTTTAGGTAAAAATCAAAACATATTAGAGACATTTCCACTGGATATAATAATTACAGAGGCTGAAAGTTTTTTGGTTTTTTTTGTTTTAATACATGTGCTGTTCAGCTGGGAAGTGACAGTAAAGTGAGCAGAGAAAGTTCTGGACTGCTCCTTGCCCTGCTGCTCTCACCGGGCCATGCAAATCGGGCGCTAATGCAAATTGGCCTGCCAATGCTTGGAACCAAATGGTAAAACGATCCTGAGTCCTTGTCACCTCCACTCATGTCACGGACATACTAAAGTGTGGCTCAGTTGTCTGGGCCATGTGGCTGGTTCCCATTACCGCCTGCTCCATCCAAACAGCTTGGAAGGCCGTTGCAGGACAGCAAAATGGACGGTCGCAGCAGCTTAAAGATGGCGGAGGGCCACAGAGGTGAAAAATCAGGTCCTAAGAGAAACTTGATGCACTTTATCTTCAAAGAGCCGAGTATACCTCAGTACATGGAAAGCTTTTTACATCAGCGCAGATGGGCTCGAACAGTCAAAGTAATGAAATAGGTTCGGTTCGAAAAACTAGAAAACAACAAATTTAACTCTGTCAAGTTATCAAGTAACATGCTCTGCCTTGAAGAGTAAATTGAAATATTTTTTTGCTTCGATGGAACTGTTTGTTTTTTTTTCAGTACGCATAATTTCAAAATATAACTTGGCTGTATTTAATAAAATGAAGTAATATCAGGATCAAGTCTTCTGTCTAATATTTCAAAGAGCATTGCTATTGTGACGGTGATCACTCGTTATTTTCACATATAGTTGACAATCCTCAAGAAAATATGGGTGCAGTTAAATGTTGATGTCAAACTGGAGCCCAAGTGTTGCAAAGATCGACGCGATGACATTACGGGGCCTCAAACGGATTTTCTCTGGCGCGTGTGTGTGCGCGCGGGGGAAGCAGCCCGCGACCCCTAACGGATGAGACAGGAAGCTAAAGGTCACGCTGAGAGTAGACACGGACACATCAAACGAAGAAACGTGCCGTCTCTTGAGGATCACAAAGACGGCGGCTTACAGGGAATCATGACTTTGAGCTTTTTTTTTTTTTTTTTTTGCTGTGCATATGCTAACAAAAAACATACAGAGTGTGACTATAACTCTACGTGGATTGAGTTTTTGCCTGATCGGTTTGCCTCAGTCAATGTGATGCTGGTAACTACAGGTATAAAGGGGCGCTGGAAAAACAGTACTTAGGTGGGCATTTCAGATAAACATGTTTGAGGGCAGCTGAATTTTTTTTCCTTCCTTGAAAGCTAATTCTAAAGACTAATAAACTAGGGGGGAAGTGGACATTTTGCAGAGGAACCATCTTGAATAACGTATTGTTTTTATGGGTTTTCCTATTGTAAATTTGACCGTTTTTTTTTGTGACATACATGTGGTCTTTATAAGTTAAACAATTTCGCCAGGGTTTGTTAATGCCTAATGAGGTCCGATGAATACATTTCTGAATCATTCAAATAAAATAACATATGGAAGAGGTTGACTGGAATCGATGGTAATGATAATCTAACATTTGAAACTGTAATTGAAATGTTATACACTATTATAAATGTGTGCAATAACATTATTCACTAAAGGCTGACACTTTGTTTATGTCTAGTATAATAATAATGCTGTATTAATTCAATATAGTAAAACATATTAGTTATTTCAACCGGACATTAAAAGTTACCTTGAGACTGCACAATTTTAGAATAATAAAATAATATAATCAAGATGCCTTTCACAATGAAAAGGCCTCAATTGATGGAGCACTGGTTACGTGAATTAATATATAGCCTTTAACAGTTTTACAAAGACAAATTATTAATATTTTTGCCGTCATAAATTAAGAATGATAAAAACTGCTATTGATTGTTATGATTTTAATATTGTGATTTTTTTTTCTAAACGCCCATATATTGATCAGTTTTGTCAACTGATGTCTATTTTGGTCTCATATTTAACTTTACACAAAAGAAAAAGAAGAAAAGGCGTGAAGGGAGTATCCATCCATCGGAACGAGTAAAAGGCACGATCACATTGTACCTGCACGTCTTCGATCTGTGCAATTTAATTACATTTAAAGAAATATACAACGGGGTGAATAAAAATTTTTTTTGCGCTTCCTTCCCTAGAATCTCTTTGGCTGTGGCCCTTTTTAAAACGAGCATCAATTTTAAACCATCTTATCCAATTATATTATGACGGATTTCTCCCCCATTTTTCATGTCACGTTGTCACGTTTATATTTGGTGTTTTCCTTCCCGGTAACACGATTCGTCTCTCTGCAGTTGGTCCTCGCTGTTCATCCTCAAACGAGGGTCAAAGTTTTATTCCCCCCCTCATCCGTGTCCCATTTCGGTGCAATTAAACGAAAGTGGGGCCAACATGGAGCAAAGTAACACCACGAAAATACGAAAATACCCGAAAACGCGAGAAATCAATTGTGCGATTCCCTGTTCGATATAATTCTTGATTGTGATGGCGATGATCGTATTTCACGAACGCTAAATTCGATGAAGGCAACGTGATCTTTGGGGGTAAAAAAAAAAAAAAAAAAGATGACGCGCCTCTCTGGATCACGCTCAGAAAAGTTTGGGGAGATTCATGATGCATGTCAAAGCAACATTTCTTGAATTCACTGAGACGCATTGCAGCATCCTCCGCCAACCCCATTTCGTTATTTCAAGAGAGCGCGCTGTGCGGAGATATGAAGCCGGGGCCCACTCACCATAGCAGGGAAGGATCGCTGCGTCGTGCCCGCCCTCCCGATGCCGCTCACCTTCCTCTGGAGGTGTTTTACAGGAGGTCCTGTACGTAAAGAGGTGGAATTTGCTGAAAGTAGCGTGATCGGCTGCTGAGACGGCGTCCAATGAGCGGCCCTCCTGCTGGAACGGACTCCGCGGTTTGTCTCCGTACGCGTGACCTTTATGGGCTTGCACGAAAGCAGCGGGGCTGTATTTGGTGTCAGGGGATGGGAACGTCCTGAAGTGCTCCGTTTGCTGGTCCCGAGTTTGTACTGCAGAAGGACTATAAAATGCATCCATGGAGGTCATGTCGCTGTATGGGCTGCAGGTCTCGGCGCTCATGCCTTTAAAAAAAGGTGAAAAACTCTCTCTCTCTCTCTCTCACTCTCTCCCTCTCTCTTTGAAAAGGGAAACTGCACATACACGCGCACACAAGTGCGTGCACACGCTCATACCCCCTCCCCTATAACTCACACGCACGCACACATCCAAGCATGGGCCTACAGCAGCTGGCTTTGGTTATAGAACCATTGAGAACTTTTCCAGGAACACTGTCGTTGAGCAAACACCCCCCTTAGGTCTGAGGATGAGGAGGAGAAGAGAAGGGACTCGATGAGGATGACCTCCCGCCGCTGAGTTTTATGCCGAGTGCCGGTGACAACGACGCGCTGGGACCCTTATTAGTGGGGAAACTATTGCGGGCCGAAAAGGGGGGCTGTTGTCAAAAGGGCGTGACACGTGACATCCATTGAGTGGCGAGACAAAAACACATCCCGTGAGTGATGGCGGGAGGAACACGATTTCATGCTTCATTAAGGGCCACCGGCCTCTCGACACGGAGCCTCACATACGTCGGAACCACGAGGATTTAATGACTTGATTCGTTTGATTTGCATTCAAGGGATTTATTTCGGTACTATACATACATTTGTGGTCCCCTGTCAGATGCATGCGATTAGTAGGCGCACATTCGTGCTCAACACTCTCGCTCTCTTTTTTTTAAAGAACAATTAGGTATTGCAAATTATGTGTTTTTATGTTATGTAGCACTGCACTGCTATAATGGTTCAGAAATATTCGAAACAGCTCTCACTATGATGCGGAGCAAACCACATGCACTACAACATTATTTTCATACCTCTCTGGGGACAGCAAAACTGACCAGTGTTGTCTTTGTCAAGGCAATATTTTAAGAGAGGCTTACATTAGTTGAAGTACGTGTGCGTGTATGCTGTGACCAATAATAATTTGGAAAAATTAGGCAGGGCACATGTCTTTTGTTAGTAATTAATGAATGTGAAGCATTGTTATTAGTGACATTCCTTAAAAAAATATTATTTAATGTGCCCCAGATTGGCTAGGAGAAATAATAATAAAAATTAAAAAAAAACCCTGGTCAACAGAAAATGTTATCCAGAGATTGTTTTATGCTTCCTTAAAAAATGTTTGATGCTGATTTTTAAAAAATGTTTTGACTAGCACATCAGGTTTTTCAGATATGTTTCTATAAAACCTTCCAATGACATTTCAGAAAAAAACTAACCCTTTATTACTAAGTACTATATTATGATTATTATGATTATTATTATTATTATTATTATTATTATTATCACTATTATGAAAACCTGATGTGCTAGAGAAGATTCAGAATTTAATCATCTGAAATGACATGCACATCTGATTTTTTTTTTTAAAAATACTTCTGCTCGAGCCATCCTGTTATGAATTTGTATGTTCCATCCCCAGCTTATTATAATTTATTTTTTTACACATACTCATACGTCCTCCCAATTTTAATTATTATTATTTTCTTTAAATGTTAAGAAATTAATTAAAGACACAAAGTGTGAAGTGAAGAGTAAATTTGGTCAGTGACTGACTGGCGACCAGTTGAGGGCATACTCCACCTCTCGCTCAAAGCCAGCTGGAGTGACCCGAATGATGACAACTGCCATAGAAAATAAATGGATAGACTTAAAGTAAGGTGCAGTTATTTTCTACATTGGTACAAAAATGTATTTGATTTACTCAATATGACTCTCAGTATCAAAATGACTCACTTGTCGCAATGCAGTGATATAAACCACCTGCACAGATGATGAACTAATTTCTTCCAGCTAAAATCTTTTCTTTCTAACTGCGGTCAGAGGTTTACAACGATGAATGTCATGGTCATTTTAGACTGTCAACAACATAAGCTGCATACTATAAAAAAAATTATAGTAGCAGTACTTAGAGCAACAAATCAACAGGCCTGCACAATAACCAGCAACTTCTGATTGCTGAGTGTTGGTTTCACTTTTTTTTTTTTTTTTTTGCTCAACCTCGCTTGACCCCAAACATTCATGCAATTAGTTGAAATAGATCTAAAGTGACAAGTTGAACATCGTAAAATATGTTAGTTATAAATCTATCACCGTTTGGGGTGGATGGCTCACATGAATGGCCCGATTTCGACTCAATGGCCACATCCTAAGCCGCTGGATATGCCTTTACCTTAAGTCGTCTGGGATCAGATCCGGTCTCCTGCAACATGGAACAGGATTTGGAAAGTGGATAGATACATATATCAGTCAGAGAAAACAAAATATATATATTCCAGGTGGATCATTCATTCAGAATAATGCCAGATATATATGATAATGTGCTTGCCCAAAGTGAAGCCAGGAAACATAACCAAATACAGTCTGCTTCTATAATTAATTCCGCAACTACATTTGTTCATTGAAATGTTAAGGTGTTAATATCTTGGGGTGTATGCCATACAATATACAATTGTATTTATTATGACAGACAAAAAAAGAACAGTTGAAAGATAGCATCCAAAACAGGGTGTAAAAAGATATCTATTTACTTTTGTCGTCCTGTAACAAGCTGACATTGACAAACTTTAGCCTTAAATTCCAATAAAAAAAAACAAAAAAAAAACCTCAAGACATAGAGAATATGTTTCACCGATTACCGTCAAACAGACACTGAATTACTTTCTGCATGTCAGCAGCATGACTCAAAGTAGTGAAAGACCTCAATCTTGTGTAATCTGTCGAGCAGCTTCAACCTAAAAAAAAAGAAAAAAAGACAGAATATATTTTATATTTTCAATCACTGGATCCTTCACGAATTATTCTCCCTCACCTTGCAAGCAACATACCTATTTTAAATGTTTTCTTTTGGAGTAGGACAATATACATACTAAATGACTTTGGGCAAGAGGTAGAATACAACCTGTCAAAACACTGCCAAACGTGCAATCGTGCATACAAACAACATGTTTATGTGACACTCAAGTAAAGTTCACCCATAAGCAGTTTTTTGAGTCACTTTCAGTAGTCTAAAAGAAAATTTGTCATACAGCTGATTCGGAAGTACGTGGTCCTATGTGGCCCCCCCAGTAGTACTGATGAAAAACTGTGGCCCCTTACATCTCATCACAACTTTCATTATATTACAACGTTTGGCTCATTGGATGGTGGAAAATTAACCTAATGAGGACAAGTAGTGTCCATCCCTGCTAGAATCAAACATCCTCCTTCGCGATGCCATTTTGAAGCAGTTCTTTTCATGTGAAGAAAAGCTTGCAAAAGGTTTGTGCAATCAATCTTTATATTTTTTTTCCTCCTTTATCCTTGCATCCATTTTCAACACTACTTGTCCTCATTAGGTTCATTTTCCACCATCCAATGAGCCAAACGTTGTAATATAATGAAAGTTGTGATGAGTGTAGGGTTATTTTTCAAGGTTTTGTTACCTCACTGGGAGACAGCTGGTCGAAATCTGTTCCTCAGAATCACATCGGGGTAGTCTCATGAAGAAATGTATTCATGTGACAAAAATAATGATGTCGTTTTACCAAAGAATATTTGGTACTGGTAGCGAGAACTACATTTGTCATCAATCTGTTTTCCTGTTTATTTTCGATACACATAAAAAGACTTGTGACATTTAACAAAAGAGGGGAAAATGTTTTGGAAATGTAAATGCAGGAATTCATAAAATAGAAATGTATTTGTGTATTTTTCTTTTAATTGCCGGACACGTCTGTACAACTCTACTGTGTTAACAAACAGCCGTGACCAATGTTGTAGGAAGTCCAGTGTCATTTTTTTTTTTTTTTTAAATTTTGTGAAAGGTTTGTGCTTTTGCAGGCAAACATATCAAGTCTTTGTCCTAAGGGCACAATGAGTGAGCCTGTTGGCACAGCCTGTGGCCTTAACATGGCCTTTTAATGCGTATTCTGCTCACATCCGTTCTCCAGCCAAATTTGTAAGATATTTGTGAATGAGGGGGTCCAAAAGAAAACACAAGGATACTGATATATAGCCGTCAACCCACATCCTCACTAAACATTAAACTTTAGCCTCCGTTTTGACTCTGGCCTGTGGCAAAGCAAGCTGATTGAGGCCTTTGACGGGCATTAATACACCATGACCAGATGGCTTTTGTTCAGAAATCTAAAGGAGCATAAAATGGAAAGCGGAAGAGGAAGGAGGGAGGTTTGAGGAAGGAGGGAGAGCCACAAAACTGATGTTATTTCATTAACGAAAAAAAAAACAAAAAAACAAGACTTTCCAAGTGACAAGAACACCCTTTCTCTGCCAGCTGTGCATCATCGGCTGGATGTGCGGCACAGTTTTGTGAAGCAACTCCAAAAAACAAGAGAATGCAGTTGGTGAAAAAAGCAGACATTATAAAACAGTTTTTCAGTGGTCAAAAGAAGAGACAAACCTGGCACAATGGTTGTCAGCCCCTCCCACAGGGAAAACAACAGTAAATATTTCACAATTGCAATGGGCTCAACTGTGGTGTTGGATGTCCACCACAGGCATGCCTCCGCTGTATTTTTGGCACGCATTAAACTCATGTCACATCTGGTCACACTACAGCTTGTCATCATGAAATGTGAAGGTCAACAATTGTTTTGCATCTCCCCTTTTGTCAAGAAATCAAAACTAGCTTTTGTATCACTACCCAATAGAAAACACACCAAAAAAAAAAAAAAAAAAAAAAAAAAAACCTTGATGCTTTTCTGCCTGTCTGCCTGTGCACTGATCAAATTCACCAGATTGCGCCAAACATTTCGACCTGGTCCCAGCAGTCATAAGGTTACACAAACCACCAAATTGTTAGCCATGGCAGGTGCATGTCAAAGGTTGCGCCGGTACAGCCAGTGTGGCGCAGAGTGGTCTGCCAACGTGGTAAACCGGTGGAGCGAGCCTTGGACCTGCATGAAAATCAGAACACGCCAGCATTTGCGCATGCGCCTTGTACAAAAATAGAGTGCTTGGCATCAACTTGTCCATTCACATCCTCACATAATGTAAACACTTTTTTTTTTCCATCTCCTACAGGGGTTGCCCAAAGCTTTTGGACCAAAGATCGACTTTTCGATGAACCAAACTCCCGCGATCGACCCGTTACTGCGCACGCACATACACATGCACACCATGATGAGCAACAGCCGGACACAGAGGCATGCGACGCACTTTAGCAGCCTGTTAACTATTGTAGCTCACACGTACCATTTTAAAGTGCTTCCGTCGGCCATCTAATTCCTATTCTTTGCCCGTGCCCTCGTTGAATTGTACACGAAACAAACTCTGAATGAGAATAATGATAACGATAAAAGATATTGTTCAACAGCTCTGATCACAAGCTG